TCAGTGAGATAGCTACCAGTCAGGCAAGAAGCAGGCCTTGAATTCTAGCTGGGATTTTTGCTCATGGTGAGGCAGAAGCTTCCACCCTATGCTGTCCTCTATGCATTTTTTCCAATGACTATAGTAAACACATGGGGAAAGCCTGACTTGTGGCATGGGGGGTAGAATGTCTGTGCTGGGAAGCAAATTAGCCAGGTTCAAGCTTCTTTTATGCAAGTGGTGGGACCTAGAACCCAGGACCTCTAGCTTCTTAGATGAGTGCTGTAGCAACTGAGGTACAAGGGCCAAAGCTAGGAGATATTTTTCTCCTAGCCCTTCTCTGTTTCTAAGTCCTGCTCCTCGTGAGTTATTTTCAACTACATTTTCAGATGTTATATGCCACAACATGTCCATCCACAAGGGACATGCACATGGGCTGTGCCTGTATGTGTGGCCACAGTGTAGCCTGCTGAGCACGCACAGTTGTGTACATGCAAATGTTACATAGCCAGGAACAGAATTCCTGTCTGGGGTGTAAGTGGCATTTTTGGAGCTAAGGTAACCTAAAGCACCATATGGAAGACCAAATATGGACACACAGGTGACCAAGAAAGGAACACTGTATTTACTTGAATCTAAGTCGATCCAGAATTTAAGACAACCCTCTCAATAATTAGATTCTTATATGGATAATTCCTAAATTTGTTATAATTTTCAGGTACAGAATCTAATTATTGGAGGGTTGTTTTAAATTTGTCCCTCTCCCACCACCTCAGCAGGGAAAATAGCGGCTGGGGCTGGAGTCAGGTTGACCCTTGCCCTCTGCTCCTCGGCCTGTCCCTACAATCTTTGTCCTTTCCAAGTATCTGCCTCTTCCCCCCTACCCATACTGTCCGACTCTGCACAACCTCTGTTCCCTCTTAGAGCACAGCACCTGGAAGTTTAACACTTGCAGGGCCAAGCAATCATGTCAGCGCATCTCACTGGCTGTGCAGGCACTGCAGACTGGACAGGGGACAGAGTTTCCATGTGCTCCATACCTGGGAGGGAACCCAGCCCAAGCCTCAGCTGAGTTGTGCCTGACAGTGAGGGGAGGGGGAAGGGGCGGGCAAAAGCCGGAGAGGGCAAGTGGAGCATGGCACAGGAAGCTGCTGTGGATCTGACTCTAGCTCTGACCTGGACTCGGGGCCGGAATCAGAATGGCTGCAGCCGCCTGCTCCCTTCCTCCCCTCCCACCCCCCATGTTGATGGTGGGGGAAACCTCATCTTAGATTTGAGTAAATAAGGTAGGTGCCACTCCTGATAACTTCCACTTGAAAAGTTTGTATTTGATATACTGGCCAGAGAAACAGAAAAGCAAAAATGCAATCAGTATTAACTTAGCACTCAAATCTGGAGCCACAAGTCAATCTGGTTTCTTGCTGATGCCAGCCCCATGTTTGTACACATACCACCAACCAACCAGACACCTAACCGTTTATTTCCTAAACTGAAAATGAGAAGCGATAATCTCTCTCTCTCA